TCACCTGGTCCCTGAGCATGAGCTGTGAAAGAGAGCTTTGTCCCCCAAACCCTTCATCGCCTCTGGAGGTATGTCCTGTGTTGTCCATACAGGAAAAGACTTTGGTGTGACTGGAATTTTTGGGGCCCATGGGAAAATGTAAATGAGTAAGAGGGTCAGCTTTCTCCTGAATGTCTCCTCCCACGGTGTACTTCGTCATGTGGTTGAGAAATATGATTCAAAAGTAGTTAGAATCAGCGTTTTTGTAATTATGAATGACATTGTGAATAAGTAAAACAAAAAGGACACAAACTAAAGCTGTTCTCATCTTGTTCAGGCAGGTTTCGGCTCAGCCAGCAGTCCAGTCTGGCCCAGTCCCAATACTCTCACTTCCACACTTGCGCCCTTCAATTGCACGTTCCCAGTCAGAGGTGTGAGTGCGAGTACTGGGATTGGGCTTCTGAGTTGTTTTGGTAAAGCACCTAGCCTAGTGAACTATACCAAATTCTTGCTTTGCAAAGTTTGTTTAAATAAAAAAGTTTAAATAATACATTTATTTAGTCTGGCTTGCCAGGCTATAAGGCACCGCTTTTGTCTCAAGAGCACAAATTTATAAAGAAACAAAAACAGTTAGTGATTTTCTGGGTTGGCAAAGCCAGAAAAGGTCAAACGTTTCTCTGAGCAACCAGACAACACTAGACATATTAATTCTATTAGAGTGCAAGAGCTTATAAAATTGTATTTTTTATTAAAAAATATACATCTTTACATTGTGCTTTTACTGCCCTCATGTGGCAAGAGTTAAAAACAAAGCTAGTGAAAACAACAGATGTGGTCAAATTGTAACCCCCCCCATCGGCACATGAGCCGATGGGGGGGGGGGGGGGGGGGGGGGGTGTCTTGGATTTTACTCAAAAAATAAAAGTTGGTTGTAAGTCAACACAAGCTGTTAGTTATGTAAGAATGAGATAGTTGAATCAGGAGCAAAACACATTCTTCCTTAAATTCCTCACATTAACTCAGGGATGCTTTTGTCCGGCTCAGTGAGAAGTGCAGCTGCAGTTCACTTCACTGTTCCTAGCCACCGAAAAATCCAACGAAATGCATTCTTCTAACTTTCAACAATTCAAAATCCACTATTTTTTATTTTACCCAATCTAAACTGTTTTTCATCAGGTTTGTTATCGTTCTTCAAACAAAAAATACGAGTCTAGAGCAAACTCTGTCCTGTGATGTTAAATCTTTTTATTCCTTTCATGTCTTTCGGTGTCACCTCACTGCCGGATCACAGATGGGGTTTTAAGCACGTGTTTCCACTGCAGACTTGTCAGAGTTCTTTTTACTTTTACACAAGCTCGTGACCCAGAAACTCATCGGGAGAGGTGACCCGGAACGAAACCCAGTAAGGCAGGTCAGATTTCCGTCTGACATGTTCTCAGCAGGAGGTGGTTGGGAAAGCTGGAGCAAGCAGGCAAGAAGAGGTGAAGCTTATTTACAAAAACATCAACACAGAAGAAACAAATAACTTGGAACAAGCTATTTTTATGCTAAGAGCTCGTATTTATGTGGAATTTTGCCTTTATTAAATGTTTTTTTTTCTATTTTTTGCATTAACCTTTTAAATATACTGAGAAAATTGAACACATTTACTGAATAAAAACACATTGGAATAATTTCTGGCTTTCTAATATTTCATTTTAATATCTTCAGAATTTGTTGCAATGAACTACCGGTAATGTAAAAAAAATCTCTAATCTGTAAGTTTAGTGCCAGGGTTCTTTAAACAAATGAAGCGTTCGATCTCCAAAAGATCATAGGAAGACAGTTTAGATGATTAGCACCATGTGACAGTGAATGCAACGAAGTTCCATCCATCCGTCAATTTTCTTCCGCTTATCCAGGGTCAGGTGATGGGGGCAGCAGCCTAAGCTGAGAGGCCCAGATTTCCCTCTCCCCAGCTACTTGAACCAGCACTTCCGGGGGAATCCTAAGGTGTTCCCTGGCCAGCCAAGAGACAATGTCCCTCCAGCTTGTCCTAGGTCTTCCTTTAGGTCTCCTCCCGGTTGGACGTGCCCAGAAAACCTCACCAGGGAGGCGCCCAGGAGGCACCCTAACCAGATGCCCAAGCCACCTCAACTGGCTCCTCTCAATGTGGAGGAGCAGCAGATCTACTCCAAGCCCCTCCACTAGATGACCGAGCTTCTCACCCTCTCTAAGAGGGAGTTCAGACGCCGTGTGGAGAAAATTCATTTCAGCTGCTTCTTGTATTCTAAATCTCCTTCTGTTGGTCACAACCCAAAGATCAAGACCATAGATGAGGGTTGGAACATGGATCGACCGGTAAATCAAGAACTTTGCCTGTGATTAATATAAAATACAAAATTGGTATTGGTCAAACGGCCCCATGGTGTGAAATGAGACCAGGTTGATCTGATTATTGGTTGGGTGAAATCTCATAATTCTAAGAGTCCATGAAAAGACACACTGACATCATTTATGATGTGAGCGGAAGGTTCTAAATATAAATGCTGGCCCTAAAAAGAGTTAAATGGACTTTATTTGTGCTGCTTGTTTGCTTGTTGAGTTAAAATATCAGCTAAACGTTGTTGTTTATGTAAAATTCCATTTTCTATGGATATCTCTGGAAAAGTTCCTGGAATTTTGAAAAAAAAAACAGATTAGTTGACCTATTTTACAAATCACACTTTTCCTTTCACCCATTTTATGCCACCATGGTTAATCATTGTCAGCTTAGTAAATAACACGCTGAGTCTACACAAGTACTGTTAAGTCCTGCGTGTACATCATGTATCTTCAGTTTTACACACTGCAATAGCAATCATAAGGAAGATCATTTTATATTGTCTGTAAGGTTTTGGTACAGTAGGTCTTGGAGCTTTTGAGCCTTTGACATCCCAGATTTGTCATCATTCCAAAGAAAGTAATTTGCATTTTCCAGACTAAAACTCGTTGCCGAATCACTCGTTTAAAGAAAAGGAATATGCAGTAAATCCTTAGACAGATATTTCAAAATTCATGACTGAGGCCTTGAGTGTGGATTAATAAAACAGTCTCCAAATGCGTTATTAAACAGAAAACATTGTCATGTGACCTCATGGCAGAAAACGCTGTCAAACACCAAGACGTGTTATATCATTACATAAGATTAGTGGGAAACCAACTGCTGAAGGTGCTTTCTTTCCCACATTCAAACTTTTTTTCCAGGAACACTACTCAGAGCAACTCAGACCAATGCAGCTCGGCCCGATCACTGTTCCCAAGGGCACGGTTTGGTTTTTTCTCCCCTATTTTAGTCCCTGCTCTGTTGCGGTACCTGGCAAGGCTGAGTCGGACCGGCATCGTGATTCTGGCCACTGATTGGCTAGGGGGCAAAGTCACTGGTTGCTTTGGAGTTTTTTGCCCTACGTTTATTTGCCTACAGCCTTTTCCTAGTTCAGAGTCTGACAAAAAGCTATAAAACTGAGCTAAATGTCCAGCAACACTAACTAACTAACACCAACAGCACCCACTTTCTGTCATGGAACTGTCATGGGAACAAAACTATACTTGGATGGGCTGACACTCTCCACGCTGTACAGAGCTGTTATAGGCTGAGTAGTGTTCCTGGAAAAAAGGCATCAAACGTCTGCAAACACACGTGTCAAAGGGAGCCCAATTTGTATCCGACGGAAAACATCACTTGAGGATATCACTTTATTAAGTTTTTCTGTCACTGCAACAGTTTGTTACTGAAAGAATCTATCATCAGGTTAAAATCTTGACATTCTAAGCACAGTTTTAACATATTCATATTTAAAAACCCTAAAGTTTATTTTGTTAACCTCCTAAAGTGCAACTTTACCTTAACTCCAGGACCAAGAGTAATTTGAGATTCTGAAAAACACTGGAACGTTCGTTAGTCCAAATGAGTGTGATTAGCAAGCCTAAGGCAAGGCAGCTTTATTTATTTATATAGCACATTTCATACATGGAGATAATTCAATGTGCTTTCTATTAGCAATAATAGAAAGAACATTAAAGAGCAAGTCACCCCCAAATCAACTTTTTTTTCCCTGATAAACTAAATAAACAAATGTCTAATCGTGCTGCAGACACGTGTGGTCAATAATTTGGTACTTCAGTGCATCTTAGTTAAAATTTAAATATTCTGCCTAAAACTGTCAGTGTTGTGCCATTGTCTGGTAAAAACTCTGCACTGCATTTGAATTTAAATCTGCCACCGCTATTGGCTAAGAGGCATGCTATGATGTAAACTGGTACATTATGATGCCACAATGCTGTTGTGAGCCTGTGTGTGTGTGTATTTGTTAGTGGCTCCGCCCTCTCGGTCTGCTAGGCACCAGCATTTGTTGCATTTTTCAAACATGAAGAGGGAGTGAAGTAAGTTTCTTGTAGGGGGTGACTTGCTCTTTAAAATCAGCGTGGCAGAAAATTCCATTAAACATTTAAAAGAAGCAAACTTTGCAAAGCAAGAATTTGGTCTAGTTCACTAGGCTAGCACAGTAGAGCAGCTTCACCCTGTTTGGTTCTGACCCTGGTTCTACCAGCTGACTGTTTATAAGGATCTCAGAGCCCTGCTGGGTCTATTGGTGGAGGTTTTTAGACAAATGCAATTGAACCATTTTTTTTAAATCTCTACGAAACAGTTAAAGCTATACTATGTTGAAATGTTGTTAAGCATGAAAAAGGTTTTGGGCTAATTTAAGCAGATTTACTATTTTAGTTTTAAGAAATCCCACAATAAGTGGGTTCACATAACTGTTTTCTTAAGGCACTTGAAAAAAATATTATTAATTCACACGGAAAAGTGTTTGATAGAATCAATTCATCACAATCAACCCCCCATAGCTCATGCATGAAGGTGTGAATTGTTGTTTAAAGATTAGATCACTAACTAATGTTTGTGTACTAATGTTGCTGCCTCCCGTTTAAGCGAATGGAGCTCTGACTATTTGCTTTATCTGAACTGCAAATGAGGTCAAACTCGACCAGGCTGACATATCACTGAGTTTCAATGAGACAGAAGCAGCTGTTCAACTCCAGCTGTGATAATTCTCAAACTCCATCGGATCCAGGAAGGACAGAACCATATATAAACACAACATTCAGCCAGAGAGAGAGTGCTGTCTTGAATGTTATTGAGGGGAAAAAAGCATGAAGCTCATCATCCTGGTTGCTTTGTTTGGGCTTGGCTTTACCCAGCATGACCCCAATATCAAGGACGGAAGGACCGCCATCGTCCATCTGTTTGAGTGGCGCTGGGCTGACATTGCTGCAGAGTGTGAGCGCTTTCTGGGTCCCAATGGTTTTGGTGGAGTTCAGGTAAACGTGTTTAGAAAATATTTTTTTTTATTTACTTGTTGACAAAATGTTTTAGATGATTCCAAATACTCATTAAATGTCGTAAAAGGAAATAAATGGGAAAAGTGATCAGAAGACACATAAAAGCAAGGAAAAAAATATTACAAATGGTAAAAAAAAATAGGGAAAAAAACGGTAGTTCATGGGACATTTAGAGATTTAAAAATTTTTTAATTCCTTATTTTGTCAAACAGAGTTTGATAAACTGTTGCTTTTATTAAATATCTTTAGGAAATGATCTTTAAAAATGTTCAATTGATGAAATGTGTTTGTGGACTCCTGCCTCCCTCCAGTGGTTAACATGTTTTTGGGATGTTTTTTGTTTTGAGTAGCACTGGTGGCAAGGCTTGGAAAAAAAACTTGTAAATAAAAGATTGAATCCATCATAACTGATAGCAGTTTTGTTCCATTTACAACTGATATTTTGCTTTTTGCAGAAACTGATCATCAGAGGCTGATTGGCTTTTGTTTCCACATTCACAATAAACACATAATTATGTAAACTATTTTCAAAAACATCTATTCAAAACCATTTTTAAAAGCTACATTCATATTTCCTTACTTGCCTAATTCAACATTAAATTACAAATGCATTAATTCTTGTTTGTTGCTTAGATTTCTCCTCCAAATGAACACATTGTGATAAACAATCCCTGGAGGCCCTGGTGGCAGAGATACCAGCCCATTGGCTACAACCTGTGCTCCAGATCTGGCAGTGAAGATGAACTGAGGGAAATGATCACCAGATGCAACAATGTTGGGGTAAACTACAAACTATGGCATTGATTGGGTCAATGTCACCAATTCCTTGGTGTCTCATGTATAGTACCAGCCAACTCTAACATAAACAGTCAACACCAACAAACAACTTAAGGGCCTATTATGCAACTTTTTTCATATTTTTAAATCATTATCTTGAGCCAGTGTGCTACAGGGTTAATGGAATGTCACTCAGACTCCCACCGCCTTCTGTGGCCAGATCACTGCACTTGCAACTTCAGAGTGCAGGTTCTGTCTCTGTGAACTTAGTAAAGTAGAGCTGACATACCTGGCACTGGAGTCTGCTTCCAGAACCTGCATGTTTTAGATCGTGAACACATCTGGTTTGTTTGATTTAGTGATGAATCACTCTTGTAGAAACTAATGAAGGCTGAGTTAGATTAAGGCCTAACCCCATTACTTGCACTTCCACACATGTGCCCTTCTATTGCACGATCCCAGCGAGGGGTGCGAGTGCGTAGGGTACTCTGATTCTCAAGAGCGTAAATTGACCTCGCCCCTTTTGCATCCTTGATCTGCACTTTAATGCGCACTTGGCATTGACCATTGCTGCAAGAGAAACTCACAGATATCTTTTCTGAAAATATGTATTTTCTAATGAAAGTAGTTCATTTTAGGATGATTAGTTTATGCTCTGAATGATTTAGACAAAGCAGCAATGAATCTAAATTTATTTCAAACAATTGTTTTTTCATTTGAAAGTTGCTAATAAAGATTTTTTTTAAAAGCGACCAGCATCGTGGCATGCGTTGTCGTCGATAACGCAATGCTCCTGTCCCAATTCTGCAATTATTTGTGCACTTGTGTACCATGCACTCGAAGCCTTACTGCACACTTCCCCCAAGTGCACTTCACAGAAGACCGTAGAGCACAGTGGCATTAAAAAGTGCTAGGTTTCACTGTTGGTTTGACTAACGGACACCGGGGTTAGCTAAAATAATCTCTTTAATATGCCAATTAGAGGTGTAATCAACTGATCAAAGTTTTGAAACAATAAAAAAAGGTAAAACATTGAAATCTAACTTGATCACAGGTTAACATCTATGTGGATGCTGTCATAAACCACATGTGTGGAGCAGGCGGTGGAGAAGGAACTCACTCTTCATGTGGAAGCTGGTTCAGTGCCAGCAAACAGGACTTCCCCAGTGTGCCGTATTCCAACTGGGACTTCAACGGCAACAAATGCAAAACTGCCAGCGGTGACATTGAGAACTATGGAGACCCTTATCAGGTATTGATGTATGACCCGCTCTTGTGTAACGCCTTTCAGAGTCAAAGGACTCCAAAGTGCTTTAAATGACAGTGTGTCATTCATCCTTTCACACACACATTCTCATTATACTCTGGTAGTTTTCTGCTCTAGTTTTAGTCACCTTACACTTGGTAACTCCTGGTTAGCCCTCCTACCTGATCTGTTGGTTTTAGTACCAGTTTTACAGCTTTAGTTCAGGTCTGCAGTTATCCTTACACCATGTGGTCAGCTGGAAAATACTTGGTATTTCCTGGCTGACCACATTTAGTTCTCTTCACAATATTTTCTTGATATTATGTTAATTTTCAACTTTTTGTCTTCAGTGTTTTCATTTTTTGTTTGTTTTGTCTGTCTTTATTGCTGTAAAGCACATTGAGTTGCCTGCGTGTGGGAATTGTGTTTTATAAATGGTAAATGGCCTGTATTTGATATAACGCCTTCTAGAGGACTGGAACCCCCCAAGGTGCTTTACAACACAGTCATTCACCAATTCACACTGGTGATGAGCTACACTGTAGCTACAGCTGCCCTGGGGCTCACTGACAAAGGTGAGTCTGCCATACACAGCCGCCACCGGTCCCTCTGACCACTACCAGCATGCAAGGTGGGTTAAGTGTCTTGCCCAAGGACACAACAACAGCGACAGACTGAGTGGGGCTTGAACCTGCAACCTTCCGATCAAGAGACATGCACTTAACACCTGTGCCACTGTCGCCTGTATAAATAAAGCTGTCTTGTCTTGTCACACATTCACACACTGATGGTGATGAGCTACAATGTAGCTACAGCCTCCCTTGGGCCCACTGACTGAGGATTAGTGACAATGAGAGGAAACAGAAGAACAAAAAAGCAAAAGTATTTGTCTTTTTTGTCCCACGACACAAACTAACTTTTGCATATTAATGTGTTTACTTCATTTTTGTACAACGTGTCATTATGCAGTACCTCATTTTGTTACATAACTGATCTGAGATGATGAGTCAAGGTAGTTCAGGGGACTTGAGTGAGGTTTTGTGCTGTTTTCTCAGACAAATAAGACTAATTATGTTGTAAAACAAATGGTTCTTTCCTTGCTTCAGGTGCGCGACTGTCGTCTTGTTAGTCTGTTGGATCTCGCCCTTGAGAAAGATTACGTCAGGGGCAAAGTAGCTGACTTCATGAACAAGCTGATTGACATGGGTGTGGCTGGATTCAGAGTGGATGCCTGCAAGCACATGTGGCCCGGTGACCTGGATAACGTTTACCGTCGTCTTCACAACCTCAACACCAAGTGGTTCCCCAATGGCTCCAGGCCTTTCATCTTCCAGGAGGTAACGCATATGTGTAAAAATGGCCTCTGCAGGCTGGTTAGCTTTCTGAATCCTCTGTATTCATGTGTTGCTATCATAGGTCATTGATCTGGGAGGTGAGCCCATTTCATCCAAGGAATATTTCTCTCTGGGAAGAGTGACTGAGTTCAAATATGGAGCCAAACTGGGAACTGTCTTCAGGAAATGGAATGGTGAAAAGCTTCATTACACCAGGTATACTGGTTTAAACAGTTTTTTGTTTTTTTATTTGTGGCCAAAAATTCCAACAACAATGAATTCAAAAGATATTTGAATACACACAAGTTCAAATGCACCTCGTCGTTTCAAGGAACTGGGGAGAAGGATGGGGCTTTATGCCTGATGGCAATGCACTTGTGTTTGTTGATAACCACGACAACCAGAGAGGTCACGGTGCAGGTGGTGCATCCATCATTACCTTCTGGGACTCCAGACTCTACAAGATGGCTGTTGGCTACATGCTGGCTCATCCCTATGGAGTAGCCAGAGTCATGTCCAGCTTCCGATGGGATCGTCACATTGTCAATGGAAAAGTATGTTTTCAGCTGTGACAACTGTTATAATATCTACAGTCTGTTGGGTTGCTTTTGTTTGATTTAGCATAAAAACAATTTTCCATGAAATTGCAGGATCAAAATGACTGGATGGGCCCTCCCAGCAACAGTGATGGGTCCACCAAGCCTGTTCCCATCAACCCTGACCAGACCTGTGGAGACGGATGGGTGTGTGAGCACCGATGGCGTCAGATCAAGTGACTATCGGAACAAAACACTGACTTCACTCAGCACGAACAATTTCTACTTGGTCTTGTGGTTCATATATGTACATGACTTGTATGATTTTTCACATTTTTTGTAAGGAACATGGTCATTTTCCGTAATGTGGTCAACGGACAGCCCCACAGCAACTGGTGGGACAACCAGAGCAATCAGGTGGCTTTTGGGCGTGGTGATCGTGGTTTCATCATCTTCAATAATGATGACTGGTGAGAATTATTTTGATTCATACATTCAGCTCATATAAAACAACACATGTTCACTGAAACAACGCCTTGCGCGACACTTTTTAGATGTCTTTGTTTTTGTTGAGTGATTACTATATAAAATAATTATAAAAAATAAAAGCAGCATTGGATTTCCCTTTGTTTTTCAAGTACTTAAAGTTTAACATGAATAAACTATGGTTTTACATATGTATGGTACTAACAGAGAACAAATCATCCCCAAGCATGAGCATATTCTTTATAATAAAGTAGCAAATTGGTATTAACGAACAATTCTGTTTAGGTATTTAAACACAATATTGAACCAATTTGCAGAAGGCGATGTTACAGTAAAATATGTGGTACAAAGTTCAGGAAATACTACAAAGCCTCTAATAATAAACTTGTTTCTAACATTTGATGAGTTTAAAACAGTCAGTTTCTTGATGATTCCTGGATCCAGTTTGGTGCTGGTTAACATTTGAATTCATTTTCATTTCCTGAGGTCTGTATAAAATCAGTGACCCTTGCTTTCACCTTTAGGGACCTAGACGTGACCTTGAACACGGGTATGCCAGCTGGAACCTACTGCGATGTCATTTCAGGCCAGAAAGAAGGAAACAGCTGCACTGGAAAACAGATCCAAGTTGGAAACGATGGCCGTGCTCACTTCAGGATCAGCAACAGTGATGAAGACCCTTTCGTTGCAATCCATGCACAATCCAAGCTGTAAACCGCTAAATCTATTTACAGTTCACAATAAAATCTGAAAGATTATCAAAGATGCTTTTGGTCACTTCAGGGTTTTTATGTAAGAAAGTTGATAGAAAAGAAATGTTTATAAATAAAACTAGGATATCAAATAGAAGAACATAAGAATGATTTTGTTTTGCAAAGTAATTCATAACATGTGCTCAGAATCCCATTTATGAACTGGAAACTGGAAACGGTTTCATTATCCGATAAGACAATAAGCTGCCAAAGTATCAAGGACATTTGTAGACTTGCAGAGGTGTGACCAAGTCACTGCTTTGCAAGTCATGAATCAAGTCCAAGTCAAAGACAACCAAGTCCAAGTTCAGTCCAAAGTCAATGATGTGGAAGTCCAAGTCAAGTCCTTAACTTTGAATTTTCAAGTCATAATCAAGTCATCTGTCCAACTTCAATTTAATGGCAATGATAATAAATGTAATCCAGAGATAAAGCTTCTTAAAGCTTCATTTATTTGCTCAAACAAGCAGAAAGTTCAACTGAAACTGATTATAAACAAAGTGCTGCTACATTTAGCAGTAAATCAAACCCAAAACAAAGAATGATTCATGATTTTTATCCATGTCGTGCCACATTTGTGCTAAAATGTCAAATATGCTCAAGTCATTATCGAGTCAACAGATTCAAGTCGCAAGTCATTGGTGTTCAAGTCCGAGTCAAGTCGTAAGTCTTTATAGATTTTATCAAGTCAAGTCAGAAGTCATTAAAATAATGACTCGAGTCCAAGTCATGTGACTTGAGTCCACACCTTTTTAGACTTGTATAAGAAATATATGATTTAATTGTAAACATCAGTGTGCATTTTTGACCATTTTCCCACTGGAAGCAATGAAAAAAGACAATGAAAAGACACCATTTTAACAAAGTCCTGCTTCAGCATTTACTGGCTTTTTAAGATTGTTGTCCAACATTAACGTAGCCTGGTTTTACTCCAGATGTTAAACTGTATGAACAAATATTAAACTACCAGGTGAATTGAAACCAGAGGTCACCAACTCCAGTCCTTGAGGACTACCATCATGAAGGATTTGTTTCCTGCTCCAACAAACCTGAATAATGTGTTTGTTTTGACCCAAAAAAAATATTTTTTCTTGACAAATCCAGTAAATAAGAGAAACAAATTGCTCAACGTTTCATAGAAAATAGGATGAAAATTTTTTTGTTCAAGAGAACTAGTGCTGTTTAAGTTTGGGCAATGGTAAATGGCTTGTTTTTGCTATTGCACCTTTAGAGTTATACAACTCCCCAAAGCGCTTTACAACACAACAGTCATTCACCCATTCACACACACATTCACATTCTGGTGGGGATGAGCTACATTGTAGCCACAGTTGTCCTGGTGGCCCACTGATAGTGGTGAGGCTGCCATATTGGCGCCACCGGTCCCTCCGCCCCCCACCAACAGACAAGGTGGGTTAAGTGTCTTTGCTGCTCCCCATAGCAATGAATTTAAGCATTTTGCTGCCTTCCAGAGCTTCACTCACCTGCAAATGGGTCCTCAACCAACACTCACCATGACGGTCTTGCCCAAGGGCACAGCAACTGCAACAGACTGAGTGGGGAACCTGCAACCTTTGAATTACAGGGCTGGCACTTAACTCTTCTGCCAACATCACCCCATTTAACTAGTCACATAAAAGTAAAAATTAGAAAATGGTTTCTCTGTGAACTTGTTGCTACTTTACTTTATTTCTAGCACATTTAAGTGTTCTTGGGTAAAAAGCTGAAGTCCTCTTCTTCTCAGTGCATTCTCCGTCTAAGTTCCTTTTGGACAAAGCCATCAGCTAACTAAATGTGACGTCTCAGCTAAATATTTGTGGATGCTGTCACTTCAGTGACATCACCTCCCTCTTTCCCAAAATGTGTGTTGAATGTACAGTTTGTCCTTGATCTGAAGGAAAACCTTCAGTCAGTGAACTCAGACTGCCAGGAAATGTGCATTGACGCTTTTTTAACAGCAGAAATGGTCAAACTTTAGCTAGAATGTTTATATAAACGTTAACCGCCCTTTCAGAACGGCCCTGGGAAAGCCGGTCGGAAAAACTAGATGACAGATACAAGAGCTCAGAAAGCAGATGTTCACATAAAAACAATTATTTATTGACAAGCACTGAAGAAAGATTTTTCTATGTGAAATTTTAAAAGTTTTGCTGTGTCCAGAATTATGAATGACACAACGCAGCTTAAACAGATGTGATATAACAAGTAACAGTCTGTTCTGTTTTACTAAAACATCCCAGCGCTGATATAATTCATGCGAACAGATATGTTTTTGTTTTATTACTCCAATGGCGTCACTGATAAGAAACGTTTCATCTAAGGATAGCTGGAATGATTGTGTGCTCTTTTTTTTTTTACACCAGGTCATTGCCTTGACAAGTTTTGGAGAGTATGCTGATCTGGGAAAAGTGATGGCTCAAATGTCAAATTAGGAATAAAATAGCAACAGCTGAAACTGTTCAAACCAGATATAATAACTGTTTTTGTGAAAATGGCAGGGAAAGCATACATGGAACACCATAATCAAGTAGATGGCATAGTGCAGGAACATCTGTGCAGAGTAGAAGCCCCAAGGTCAAAGTGGGTAACACCCCTCAGGTGGTTGAGAACAAGAGAGCCAAGCTCCGGTGGGACTTCCAGATCCAGACAGACAAAATGGTGAGTGAGAACCACCTGGACGTTGTGGTGATGGACAAACCACAGAGAACGACCATTGTGGTTGATGTGGCAATTACAAGTGATGCAACTGGGAGGCAGTGAAGCCCATGTTTAGGGTGCTACAGAGCACATGCAAGCCTTTGATTAGATTTAACATGTCCAAAGATGAGAAAAAGAAGTAGAAGAATAAACAGTGGCAGAAGTTGCCAATTCAAAAAGTGTTGGAGAAGTAGTTATGAATCCTGTTCGGGTTTGAATTTAAGCAGCTGTAAAAACATCCAGGTTAGCCGATAATTTCCTGGCTTCGTTCCTAATCTCAAATCAATGACAAAGGCAAGAGGGTGCATTTAGGTATTATGAACTATTTCTAAGGTAAGAGGTGCTTTTAGCTCCAGGTGTCTGAATTTGGTAATTTCATGTACAGTTAAGGAAAGTATTCAGACCCCCGTCAATTCTTCACTCTTAGTTATATTTCAGCCATTTGCTAAAATCAATTAAATTCATGTTTTCCTCATTATTGTACACACAGAACCCCATATTGACAAAAAAACTGAATTTTAGAAATGTATGCATATTTATTAAAAAATAAAAACTGATCACATGGTCCTAAGTATTCAGACCCTCAGTATTTAGTAGAAGAACACTTTGAGCTAATACAGCCACGAGTCTTACTTTTTAATTAAATGAGGTTCTTTTTGTTTTGGACTTGAAGGTGTTTCGAGTTACCTTTTACATGTTTCGACCGTCGTCTGCGGTCTTCTTCAGAAGTGTCACAGGTGTTTGTGTGACACGTCTTTATCAGCTGTTCTTCTGGTGGGCGCGACCAACCTGGATCTGTCAGATCCGCCGGGTCGGTCACGCCCACCTCCGCTGGACCAGTTAATTTTCTTCCTCCGGAAACTTCCGGGAGGGAAGCTTTTACGGTGACACAGACATCCGGCATAAACATCCGTCATAAACATCCGGCAATTCTAAATACAGCGATAATCCACAGGTCGGTGGGACTGTTTAAAAGACATCCTAATTGCTAAAGTAAGTGAATGTGTTGTTTGATTGTGTGTTTGAGTGTGTTTGACTGTTTATTCGTCACTTTGTTGAGACACTGCATCTCCGAGTCAGAGACTCCTTTTCGCTCTTCACGTTCGTGAGAGCTAACCGCTAACAGCCAGCCAGACCGGCTGGAAATATAGCACCCGCTCTCCGCTACAGCTTAAACGCTCTTATTTTAAGCTTTCGGGAAGGTTCAGATTTAGTCTGATCGAACTGCGTGCATCTGCTAGTTTAAAACGAACAAGAGTTCTGTTTTAGACAAAATAGCAACAATAGCTTCGCGTCTGAACACCGCGAACAAACAACATCCAGCTTAAGCCGACGTCAGCCAGTGCACGGTGTGCCGCAGCTGAAGAGGGAATCACGTTATTAAGGGGAAATACCTAAAAAAGTCTACGGATTGTTCGACTCGTGGTAGGGTATAGGTTTTACTTAGGTAAGACCGAGCGATCAAACAGGTCGCCGTTGACAGCAGCATCCCGCGGAATCCTTTTGGGTAAATATTCGGTAAAATCACTGTGTTTTAGCCAAAACCAAGAGCTTAGCTTCAACAGCTTTGCTCATCCATGACTCTGGTTAAGGAGAGAAGCATCAGGTCTACCTCCATCAACCACAGTTCCTTAGCCGATCGATGCTGCCATCTTGTGGCAGTTTTAACACCCGACTCAATAAAGTTCATTTTTCCTTTCTGTTCTTTGTTGTTTCACTACTAATGCTTATTTCTCATAAGAAGGTCCCTAGTGTATTATCAATGTGTCAAAACAAACATTTCTCCTGTAACATAGCTCAGTATTAGCAACTGAATCCAGTTTCCATTAATTTTAAAATAAATTAAAGGGCTGTACATTGTTTTTAAAATGAGCTCAGAGGAAATCAAGCTATTAACAACTCTCATTCTAGAGATGAGGAGCCAGTCCCAAATTCAGCTCGCTGAGATGAGAAACCATCTCCAGATTCAGACGGCTGAGATGAGGGACATATCAACTCAGCTCTCCAAACTGCGTCAGGATGTAACAGATATTCAAGATAAAACAAACATGCTGCAGAGAACACGAGTGACAACTCCATGTTCCTCTGATCTCCCGCCAGATAAACAAGAATCAAAATATTCTGATGTTTTACTTGGCTCTGATCTAAAGCAAAAATCCTCATCTCTGACTAACAAGCCTGACGTAATCGCACAAGATCATTCTGTTATACCAGATGTAAAGCTCTCTATTGATCTGCTTCCAGAACAAAACCTGCAAACAGAAGAGGTGGTCCATCAGGAAACAGAACCTGTACCTGACGTCCATCCCGTCGC